CACACACACACACACACACACAGAGAGAGAGAGAGAGAGAGAGAGAGAGAGAGAGAGAGAGAGACACACACATACACACGACAACATGACACAAACGGTTTACTGTGTCAGCTGACACACCACTGACCACCTGTGTCTCTCTAACCATCGTTATTCTGGACAACCTGACACACCATTACAAATGTCTTACTGTATCCGTCTGCTGGAACATTTCAGTAACCCACTTTCAGCACTTTTTAAGGACCCCCGGGCGAGTGTTGACTTCCTGCAGGCTGTCCGCATCGCTGACCGTTTATGACGCCACAGCGCCGGAAGAAAGAGAGAGAGAATGTCTTACCTCTCTGATACCTACTACAGTGTCCCGTATGACGTGGGGAACTCTATGCCACCACTTAAACCTATCCGTACGTCGTGTTTTACAATCGTATCCACACGACGTGGGGAACTCTGTGCCTCCACTTTCCAAAGAGTAAATGTACTCGTTAATCCGATCCGTACGCTTTGCATAGCAGTCTATCAAAATGATTTTTTGAGAAATACTGAAAGTTTCAAAGAGATCTTCGCACTAGAAGTATTCTAAAATGTGAAGAATACAACCCCGAGGGTACAAAATGACCCCGGGGCGTACGGTTAGGGTTAACATAATTAAAATGTTGTTTTAATCTTCCTCAGGACCAAACCCTATAACGTTCCAGACGTGATACCCGCTGTGTCGTAAGTTTTAGTTTTATTTTTAGTAGGAGTTTTTCACATTTCATGGTTACAGTTTAAATCTAAGAGTGTCGTTATTATATGAGTCGGGGGCAGGAGGGAAAGAGGGTTGTGATGAGGTGAGTTTCTTTGTGTTTGAGTGTGAGAGTGTGTGTGGGATTTGAGTGTGATGACTATGGTTTATAGACGTACTGGGCTGACACAGAGGTAGGGGAGTTCTTCAACCCCCTATAACTCTAACCCTAACCCCCTATAACCCTAACCCCCTGTAAACCCCTATAACTCTAACTCTAACCCTAACCCCCTGTAAACCCCTATAACTCTAACCCCAACCCCCTATAACTCTAACCCTAACCCCCTATAACCCCAGCCCCCTGTAACACCCTATAACTCTAACCCCTTGTAACCCCAACCCTAACCCCCTATAACTCTAACCCTAACCCCCTATAACTCTAACCCTAACCCCCTATAACTCTAACCCTAACCCCCTGTAACCCCCTATAACCCCAACCCCCTGTA